CATCATGATGTAAAGAAATTACTTCGTAAAGTGTTCTTTGATCTACTTTATACCAACTGAACCTACTCAACAGACAATAACCGACATAATTCCAAAAAGGCATATTATTAACAAATTTGCAACAAATTACTGGAACTCTCCGAACTTCTTGTGTGAATGAGGCTGTAAAATGATGGTCGATTATTTTAACTATGGCTATTCGGTAATTATTTACATAAAATATAATTCTCAGAGTGACCACATATATGTAGCAATTTTATGTTATGACCTCTTAGAATCTATATGCATAAAAAATCAGTATACATTTATCTGTCTGCTAGAGCAATTTCGACATATGATTCAATTGTTATTTAGAAGCTATATTGAAAGTAGTTAAATGCTTACAATTAAATGCATGAAAAGACTAAAGTTAACTTCATTTACCACTAAGTAGTTTATATTCTATCCTGACTAGATTGATTACAAAGGCCTACCTCGCACAGTTGGATAATATAGTTACTGTTCGTAAATGCGCACTAAAAGATGATCAATCTCAAGTTTATCCAGTCCTCAAAGCTGGTCCAGTTTTATTGCAGCCTTCAATTCTAGTGACTCGACACATCCATAGTGAACATCAGTTCTCTCACAACTCAACCTCCATTTTTATTCTACAGTTTACTTAAAATATTTATCACTCATTAAGTGAGCGTTGAATTCTCGAGTGTTTTGTAATCGTTTTCTTAAATCAGTCACCTAGTGCATTTCTGATTTTCCTGAAATATAACTGTTTAAAAAAACTTACATTCTAATATCAAAAAACACTGCCTACATTTTATTCAAGAGTTAGTTTTATTCGCTCCATAAATTCAGTTATCTGTTTTGGCTAAATTTGTTGCTACAACAAATATGAAAATCACCAAAAAAAAAATGCCTGTTCATTTTATTCACATTGGTTTACTTGTTAACAGTAAATGGGATTTTTCTCTGCAGGCGCTTTTAAATTAACTTCAATGTTTTCCTAATGCGGCAGATAAATATGAAAGACTTAAGATCGCTTCACAATTCTAATAAATGTCCTGCTCATAATTTTTAATCTTAAGCTTGATAACAACTGAATAACCTACTACCAGTAGGAAAGATAGTTAAAATGAAAATGCCAAAATTCAACTATAAAACAAAGGAATATTTTTGCAGGTTTTATTTATATATTAAGGAGCATAACAATGATTTAGATAGAGTAATTGTTCCTTAAATCGGTAATCCACGATAAAATGTGGTAGTAAGTCTTTTACTTCGCTAAAAGTTTAGCATGCTGCGCACACAACTTTTCATCTCAACAAACAGTCAAGATGCTTTGCTCTTCGGCCATATGATCTTCAGTAAACGAATAAATCAAACGCAAGATCATAACTACCAACCGTTAATCAACGGAAAATGACGGCTGTTTTGTTTGAGTTAGGATGTTTTTTACAAAGTCCACTAACATGCTTTATACGAATCAACTCCATAAATTTCTGGTACTTCTACCAGATCATTGCATCAAAATCTGATGATCCTCTTTAGTCGATTTGCAATATGGTGCGACAATAATCCATTTTATTGAGAACACTTTTCGCAGTTTTAACTTTTTTGAACTCCAGTGTAAAAATTTTCTCATCCACATCTATACCTTACTCAGTAACCAGAAGACAACTTATGCACGTGTGATTCGATATTGATATTTATTGCATAATCCGTTTGGTTTCAGCACACAAAAAAAACCTTATAAAGGAGAAGATTTGTAAATTTTCATCATTTTAGAAATAAAGGCGACAGTTTTTCTTACCAATCAATGACTTTCGAGAATATCATGCAAATATTTCTTGCATATTGTTTTTTAAGTTAATCACTGTGATCGACATGTATCGGACATTTAAACCTTAATAATCAAATATAAAACCGTATCTGATATTTCAAATATGTAAGGATGTTTTGCAAGCCATTTTCCCTCGAAAACATAAAATAAGTATTGTATAACCACGATATCTTACACTCATTATCTAATGCCAACTAGCTTATTATAATTATTTATTATTTTGACACGATTATTGGTCAGAAAGGGATGCCTTAATATTTGTGTTACAAGATTCATTGATTATATGAGCTGGCTGGGATACTGCCCAGGTACTCTCTGATCCTTTGATTCGCAGGACGAATGTGGCCTCATAGCAGCTGGTGATGAACCACAGGTCTATATGCCAATCGTTCCTTCGGATCCTATGTACAAGTTTGATTTTCCAACTCATCAAAGTGGATTCTTCATATCCATGAACCCGCTTTCAGAACTGGACATAAATTTTTCATCCTCTCAACTTCGGGAACAGCACATTGGTCACGTGGAGACAGTGATTGTCACTTCCCTAACAATGGTATTATAACAACATTTTGAGGGTAAGAGCGGACCCTCTTCTTTGTCAGCCATTCAGGCCACTAGGGAATTTCCTATGACTGTTTATAGTTAATTGTTATAAATAACCATGTACATGAATGCAGATTACTGCACTTTCGAGGTGTACAAAGTTTCAAATCGTTAGGTATAACTGATAATAAACTATGATCAGCAAAGACGGAATAACTAAATTTCAGCCGCATTCACATAACGCAACACCAAAAACAATTCCCCGAAACTGATAAGTATTACTAAAAATAAATATACATTTATACGTTTCCTCTCTACTAAACATATCGAAAGATTTTCAGAGAAGTAAAAAACTAAAATAAGTGATCCTTTTAATGCATAAGCTTTGTATGTATGTACTCATGAATAATTAGTCCCATATACATTGAACTATAATTGACATTGGTGTTCAACTTCCAGCCTCACCATTTAGCGATTGATATATTCGAAGAAATTTCATACAATCTTATGACTGGACGAGATGGATTAATTTGGCGCACAATTTATCGTAATAGCAAAGATATAATTTTGAAAACCGATTACTAAGAAATCTACTCAAGTAACCAGATGCATTGAATTGACTCTAACACTCACACATTATGAATTTCAGTTTTTAGATGACGTGCTTTTTGAAAAATCCTAATTCTTAGTATTATGATAATAAAACCAATAAATTGTGGAAGTAGTAAACAAACTTCAAATTACAGGTGTACACACATGAAACCGTTTATTTGTAATGCCGAAATCCTCTAACAACGAAGTGAACAAAAGTTGTGTTTATTTTTATCCTTATTTTTGAGGATTTATGATTGTAAATTGAATTGTGTAACTACCGGTACTGTTGTCGTAACCATGAAATTACTAATATTTTGTAAACTGAAGTTAGAAACTACTGAATTAAATGGAATGCTGTTTCAATATACCCATAATTATATGTATTCGATTATCTTTTATAACATACCGTAAATAAAGAGAAACTATATTACTCAAACAACTATTTAAATGGTTTTTAAAGGACATTTTCTCCTCTTTCAAACTCTTAAACACTGTCAAGAAATAAACAAGAACAATCACGTTGACTTTGTACTTCCTTCTGTGATAAGTTGTGACTAACTATATCAATAGTAGAAATGAATTTACTTATACTGACATATAGTAAATGTACTTTATAATTATTTTTTTAAAGATTTGTTCAATAAGCATAACGCTGGCTTCGTGTACGTCGTGTTAGTAAACTTGTAAGAATTATCATTCATTCTCAGGGTCACGATTACTAGATGTACAGCTGTGTACATAATGATCTTTATAATTTTTGACGATTTACTTATGATTATTTTGAATTATTCAAAATCATAGTACTTAACTGAACTAGGAAACGAACGAAAGAACAGTTACTTTGAAAGCTGATCCATTCTTTTTAACGCAATTATATTGAGTTCAGTAAATATAATTTTCTTGTATAACTGTCCTCAAGATCAACTGTTTCAACATTTCATGGACACCACGTGCTAGTGCAATGAACGGAAGCGTTAATATCGGATGAAATAAATGAGTTATTTAGACAAGATACAGTTTACTAGTGAAACTGACACACTTTTTCTTCAGACTTCATTCGCAAGATAAGCAGATTCTTAGATTTTTCCTTACACATGTCTTCTAATCCGTCATCCAGTTTCAACTCTCTTCACTTTAGTTGTAACTTCTCGGCGAAATTTCTCTGCATACTACTTATAAGCATGTATTACATACCACACTAAGACATATTTAATTTATCTGTATACTGAGTTTATACTATCAACCTTCGTAACGTGGTACACATGACAATGTCAGAAAGAATTATTTGATGATATTCATCGATTGTTTGCAACCGCTAGATAACTAAAATATCTGAAATTCTTTTTGATAACACAAATATTAACAGGATTTTACAACGCATGTATATCTGCGATGATGGTGCTTTAAACAAAAGTATACTTATTCAGTATAATGCTGGTTTATCAAGTTACATTATTATTAGAGTTGCAGAAAACTGACTTCTAAGTTCTACGTGGTTACTTACAACGTTATTGTTAACATAAGTAAACTAATTTTTGTAAAAATGATTAAAGTGAACTATAAAATCCTACTTTAAATACGACTGAAATATTTCATTTGATCTATTAATCGGATTTATCATGTAATAGTATTTTGTGTTAGGTACCATTTTCAATAATTGGCCTTCATGAAAACATTTTACTATTTTCATGAACTTATAAGATTGTATTTCCAACATTGTTTGCAGTGGGTGAAATTTTTTGTTACAATAGGAATTGTACAGAAATGTCAGCTTATGAACACCGTCGTTGAAGCGTTCTACACAATAATTTCCTGAGATATTATTAGGAAAATTTATATATTCATGTACAATTTCAAAGAAATAAATTTTTCAACTTGGTATATTTAAAACAGAATGCATACAAAAAAAAATTCAAAATCTTATTTTACATGTAAGTAGAAAGAATTAAACATTTTAAAAAATATATCAATATATCAATGCTCAAACACAAAATTGATCATATTCAATGGTTTTATTGTGCAGTTTGTTTTAAATCCGAAAAGTTTGTAAAGTGAGTGAAAATTGACACACCTAAAAATTGTGTAACAACAATTTCAAATGTAGTATTAATAAGCAGTCAATCAACAAGAGAAAAAGTTTTTTACAAGAAATTTCACTATTCAATTCTGTATCACCAAAAATTATGTGTAAACCGTTTTCATCAAATAATTTTGCTTGAATTTTTCTTTTCAAAAATTCGATCATCAATTTCATGCTTGCTAGTGAAAAATTCATTTACTTGTACAGCATGGTTTGATTATTCAATAAGTAACTCTGATTGACTAGAGATTTATCTAAGCCTCATAAAATATATGAATACAGATGAAATCAATTACTATTATTACTATTATTATCATTAGTCGCAATTCTTATAGTAAATCACTCCAGGGTTTCAATCGGTTTGTTGTGAAAAAAGGAATGTAATTCCTAATGTAAGGTTATATTCATTATGAAGTATTATTATAATCTGATATATATATATTACTCACCACAGTCACTTTAGATATTACACATTGAATAGTATTACTTCTAATGAAAATGATCTCATGTTTCATTTTAATCACCATATCTGTTAAAATTATTTTCCCTGAAACATAACAGTAAATCAAAATTAGATTATTTAACAATTTAGAGGAGAAAATATTGCAAGATTCGAGTTTAAAGTGAATTTCTTCATAACAGGATCCATCAAGTAAACAATTTCTCTCTGTTATTTTAAACAACATCTCTTACTAACTAATTCATAGATTCGATGCTCAATGTAAAAACACTATTAATTGTCTTTCCTTCTGATGGCATTTGTCAAGAATTGAAGTCTGCCCTAACAATAAATCTTCAGGTTATTTCAGAATTAACACTCAAATGTTTATCAACAATGATAAAACTACGTAACGACTTCAATATCATGTTCATGAAACGTTTTCAGTAGAAAAAACTAAACAAAAACAGAAATTATTACTGCATTTTAAGAGTGATAATGCAATCGGTACAAAATAAGAATCAATTTCAGTCACCTTGTTTCGGGGTACAAACTTATTTCAGTACTAAGGAAATCTTTTAACAGTTAGTCACTACAATACTATATATCATTACATTATTCGGTTATTTTTGTCATAGAAATCATTGAGCTGCTAAATGAAGCTGATCAATAAATGTATATACAGCCAGTTGAACTTACTCGCGAACTATTTTCAAATTGGGACGCTGTGGAATAGAGTATGAATATGTGTTTCCATTATTAGAAACTGAACTAAAAAAGTTGTAAAGTCAAAAAAAAAAGAAATTCAGTGATTACAATTATTAATTTATAAATTAAAAGATGAAACTAGTAGAAAAAATGACAATAGTCATTGTTGCACAAACAAAGATCCTACAGTGAAATAATCTGAATGGACAACGCAAACTTAAAATATTTTATTTCGCAATAATTCAAGAAATTTAAACAGTAAAGTCAGTCAAAAATTCAGGTACGGCAACATTCAAACTAAACCGATGACAGCAGAAATCATAATCACTTTCCACATGTATTGCACTACAACTGCCGGTTCAGTGTTAACAATCTAAGTCAAAGAAATGCATTTCAACAGATAATTGTTAACTCAACAGAATCGGAAAATCCAATCTTTTGTATATTTGATAGAACAACACTAAACAATGTAAAAAAAGACCGGACTACTATGATACACATCAATATTTTCATCATACACGTCTCGTATATAAATATATGTTTATGTATTATATAAGTTTGTACAATATAAATATTGTCCACACTTAATTCAGTGAAACAAAAATGTAACGAGGATCAGTGACAGATTTTCAAAAGGATAAAAATGAATCCAATTTACAGCACTATGAATTTCAGATGAGCTTACAAAAAAACATGCATCTGCAACAGATTTTAGAAACTACATCATATCTTGATAAAATAACACAACAAACTACAAGAGGAAATGTAGAGTTTAAATACACTGCAGAAACAAAATATTTGTCAACATTCGTTATTACGCAATTTCTTTTCAATTATACAGACCGAACTACACTTACCTCGGGGTTGGTAAATCACCCATGAAACTGTTTGTGTATCGACGTGGTTCAAATTCATTTTGAATATTCCTGAATTGAAAAGCATATGAATAACATATATTTATGAAAAAGAATTTCAATTCATTATGATTCAAGCTAGTAAATGGTAAATGATTTGATTATGAACTGATATCCGGCTCACATAGTGGCACTGTTCCATGTATTTCGATGAATGCATTGTCGTTTCAACAATATAGGAAAATATTTAATAAATTAAAATCATCATAATTAATGAAAGAATTCATCATGAACTGTTTATCATTATGATATGCAATGAATGTGTATGGAACTAATTGTTTGGTAAAAAATTACTCAGAGTTTTCCAAAGTGTAAGATTCCAAAAACACATTTCGTTATGTATCCCAAATATGAAGTCATGTCACTTCATACACACGTAAGTATGTACGATTTACGAAGTTGAAAATGCCTAATTATGGTTTTCTATTCACTGGCCTCATAAACTTGATTAGGAGAAAGATATATATTCGTAACCAGAAAAAGAAGATAAGTAACAGGAGTACCATTAACTTTAACAATTTACATACTGAAGGAACATTCTGAGCCTGATTGGTCACATTACATAATTACTCAGATGGTCATCAAGCAAACACAATCAATAAAAATGCTTTGCAGTCCAAAGACATATAGTTCATACCATCACCATGTCAAACCACTTGCTAAAAAATTGAGGTGATTGTAAATTAATAAGTTTACAGTGTGTGAACTTAGTATGAGTGACATAATTAATTATCAATCAATCATTGTTAGACTACCATTAGAAACCTGGAAGCACTGGACGGCCGTTTCGTCCTGGTATGGGACTCATCAGCAGTGCACATCCACGACTTTTGCACCTCACAGGATTCGAACCCAGGACCTCCGGTATTGTGCGCGAACACCTAACCATAGGACCACTGGGCCGGCATCCAACGGTGTTAATGTCTAACTCTGGTTGATCTACGGATTTTGCGCGACATCACCTATTTGTCTTTGGTAGTTACTGCCTACATCCGACAGGGTAGAACTCCATTGGTCACGTCTTCTCAACTAGAACTCCGAGAATTTCCTCACAAAGGTAGTTACTAGTGAGCACTGTTACGATATTTTCAGGCAGAGTTTTGGAGGTTTGTGTTTCTACACATTTGAAATAATCAATCAATCATTGTTAGACCACCATTAGAAACCTGGAATCAAATTGATTTGAAAGAAATAAGACAATTCAAATCATAAAAATGTACTTTCTAAAGTGATGATGGAGCCAGTAGGAAGTTAACAACAGTTTTTGGAGAAACCACAAAATATCCTGCGAATACTCTATACTAACAGATGTTTTTCATTGATACATTATTTATTAGTTGAATGTTTCACTTTCCAGGTGACTAATGGTACTCTAAACATTTAATTGTTTAAATACAAGATATTTTATCAATACGATAATTCTCTACCGCAGTTAGCATGTTATTCATTCACTGAAATGTTTCTGACAAACGTTTGTTTAAAAGTACTTAATAGATTAAAAAAAAATAGAACATCTTTAGAAATCAAACTTGATTCAAGAGATAATGGTTGAATTGCAGATTGAAAAACAAAATCACACACCTGTAGATCTCAAACATACATATCATTTATTGGTCAAAAAATAGGCTAACAGACTTGGTTAAATAGTCTTAAACACCAATACTTATCAAAATTTTTTATTGCTAATAATAGGAAGTTAGAGTTTTGAGAAACATTTAGTCCGTAAAGCTGTCTTGTTCTTACAAATTCTATTGTAAAACCGTTCGTATGTAGCAAAACCAATTAAATTGTGACTGTATGGTAAGAATTCATATTTTATTTTCAACTCATACTGAACTAATTGACAAGTGAATGAATATGCATTTATGCATTAAAAAAATGTATAATTTTTATGATGATAAAAAACTTCAAGCCTAGACGCTATTTTATGTCAATACAACATACACTGATAATTTTGTCGTAAATAAATGGCCAGAAAGCACATGCCTTTGAAATCTTGATTTAGCATTTCATGGTATAATTTAACGATCTTATGCAGCAACCTAACATGATGATCTGATAATAATTTGTGTAACATCATTCAATCATTTGATGAAAATTGATAAAGTCACTGTTAGTTCCAAGGTCAGTAGTTGATTGATCAACTGTTTGACAGTCGGTTCTTATGTACTCGGTCTAGTTTAAAATTACCAGAAGTCAAACGAAATTTTATACCAATAAAAAGATCACAGATCTGTCACACCTAAGCGTTTAATAATCCTAGTGTTGACATGCGTGCGCCTAGCTTTCAGGTTATTATAAACACTGATTCTCATCATGTTAGGAAATTAAACTGGATAAATTATTTACATCAGTGACATTTGAAAGACTCTTTGTATTTTTTCAGCCGAAAAGACTTTTCCCTGAAATATCAATTTAAAACTGTGTTTCAAAGAAACAAAATATTTATTATTTTATATATTATCATCATTTGTTCAGACGTCTAATCACTTACCTAGGTTCTGACATATTATTCACGTAATGATTCGGACGGTTTGATTTCACAGGAATATAATGAGGCTCATATGCATCTTGAATGTTCCTGCAGTGGAATAAGGGAAGGAAAAGAATCAATCAAGTCATAACAACATAAGGTTACTTACTTTTGCAAATTATACTCGTACAAAAGTAGGGAAATGGAAAAGAAAAACAACCATACTGGATTAAAATTGAATAGAGATCAATCAACTTTTTTCATGAATAAAATTTGAAATATGACTGTCTAAAATAAATTGCATTATATCATGTTACAACTCTAATCAATATACGACGTACAAAAACATTCATTACGAATCAAATGAATGAAAGTTAGTGATGAGATTCCTGAAAAATCAAATGACAGTGACATCCTATGGGGATAGGTTAGTGAAAGTATTCTGTTATTGCTGCAACTACTAGACAAATGTCATTTCAAAATGAGAAAACATAATGATTTGAATGATTCAAGTAAGAAAATAAAAAACAGGTTTCTCAGAAATTATTCTGCAAGCTTATTATTACTAAACTTTCATAACCATGCAGACATTGTATCACTCACCTTGTTCCTGGTAAATCACCCATTAAATTATTTGAACGATTTTGATACGGAGATAAGTGTCGTGGTTCATATCCATCTCGAATGTTTCTAAATTAAAAATTAATTCAGAGATAAAACTTGCTGTACGTTTTTTGACAATAAACATGATACAAGAACTTTATTTCGAATAAACCACTGGACAAATACAAATAACTATGTACCACTATGTTATTCAACAAATTTTATTTGGCCATTACTCAAATAATACAAACAGCAAATTCAGCTGAAAATTAAGGTACGGTAAACCAGTAACTGCAGAAATAAGTAACACTTTCTACATGTTCTGCACAACAGTTACCGATGCAGTGTTACTCACCTAAGTCAAAGAAATGCATTCCAACAGATAACTATTAACTCAACTGAATCGAAAAGTTCAGTTTTGTAATAATACTATTGAATAACATGAATTAAAGCATACCAGAAGCATATACAATATAAAAATTGCCAACACTATATTATATGAGTCGAAATAGCAACAAGGAACAGTGAGAAATTTTCAAAACAAAACATTATAGAATATTCAATTTGTGATCTCAATACTTGCTTATCAATGCAAATTTCATATCACTGACCTAGATACTGGTAAATCACCCATTAAGTTATTCGTTTGTGGAGCAGTATATGGTGGTTCGTATCCATCTCGAATATTTCTACATTATTCAAAAATAACGACCTCAAAATTAATCATTTAATAAGATTATTCATTAGAGATTACATGGTTTGTTAAATACCTGCAACTAAATATTATACACATTTCGATTTCAAGAACTAAACATCTATGTAACAAGAGTATCTTAACAATGTTTATGCAACTATTAAATGTTGTCAAGTCATAAAGCTCTATCTAACTCATTGAAATATGCGATCTTCAAATCAGTGAAAAATGTATTCCTGTTGTATTATCTGTTTTATTTTCCTTTGATTTTTCACTCACATTAAGTATAACGTAATATTTCGTACAACAATGTGTTTCACATGTCGGCTAATTGGTATATTAGCTGTTTTCGGCTGTTTGTTTATCTAGTCATCTTACTTAACTTATTTATTCCATTTCAGTTAAGTATTTTTGATTTTTATGTACTATATACTATTGACTAATTCTTGTTAAATGTAAATTTTCCCTGTAAGGATTATCATTACTTTTCGTCTAAGAGTTTTTCTGTTTGAATGTCATATTTTGTTAGTACTCCTGCTTATTCTTCAATAAAAGTCAGGCTTTTGTGTGTGTGTGAAGGAGACAATGTTATCGAGTTTTTTCTTAATTATGTTTCATATCAGGAAAATCTGAACCATTCATATTTAGGTTGAAACGTTGCCAATTTAGAGATATAACATGTAGTAAAAATAGTATTAGAAAACAGTCTACTAATAGATGCTTTAGTTAAGCTGTTTCTAACAAATTGATTCTGTTTATTAATTATCAACAAAGTAAAAAGCAGAATGAGTTTACCGGCTGAATGCGCTATCTTCAATTCTATATGAATTGATCGGACGTGAACGATCGTAATCATTCCATTTTGGATACGACCTACAGAAGAGTAACAAAAATTATATATATATATATATATATATATATATATATATATATATATTTGAAATCCAAAAACATTTTTCAGGTCTTTAAGCATTAGATAAAGTATTTTTCTAGGCAAAGCCGTTCTTTTTTATGTAACACTTGTTAGCGACATTTAAAAATCTCGATAAGGCCTGATCAGAGTCATTATAATTAATGATAATAAATATAATGTTATACTTCCTTCCCTTATTCTTTAAAAAAAATATCGGTATTATATTGTTTTTCGATAGATATGTCGGAAAAATAATGATGGTTTGGACAGCTAATGGTTTTTGTAGGAGGACAATTAATTTATTGATATACCTAAGAAGACATTATATAGAAATTATGTTTAGAATTACATTTTCTTATTTACTAACACTTCATTTTGTCGCCAAGTATTCAATCTTTATCCATACTTTGTCGAATGTCACACTAACAGGACTGCAGGATGCAGAGTATCGTGATGTTTTGAATAACGAAACCTGAATACCATTTTTACCATATTTCCTAAGTCCTTACCCTATTAATTTCTCGTCAATTCTCCTTAAAAATTCTAAGATTTCGCAGAGTTACATGTAGGTATTTCTATATATTACTGACTCACAACTACTGTTTAAAAAGCTAGAAAATCATAATCTACTCCAATTTTTAATGTGATGCCGTAGTAACAAAATTAAACTATCTCCTTGTTATTGACTAACTTTGGGAGATGATTTCCTACTTTTCACTGAAAACATATGAACAGTATATTTTAATCATCTTGAGCACGTGATAAATGTTACTAGTTGTAATGGACAATGACTGTATAATATTGTGAAGTGACAGAAGTACGAAATATGAACCACAAGATGCTGACTCAGTAACCTGAGATTTAGGCGCTAGCTGTATCACTTGAAGTCTCTACATTCGAAGTTTGGGGGATAGTTTATTCTATATCACGTTATCTAGTGTTTCTTGGGTTTCAATGCTTCCTTAAATAAAGCCATCGTGATGTAAACAAAGAAAACAAATTACCAATTATTTGGTTTAGTTAAACTGTAAATTTATTCATGGAACACTCCAAAAGATTATTCTAATTAGAGCGTTCACAGTTGAATGTATTCAGTATTATTATAACAATAGGCAGTATCTAAAACACAGTCAAATCCACCTAATTTGGACTAGGTTTAAGTGTCTGTACAAATGCTGTCTGTAAGTTATTTTTGTTGTGAAGTTGATTTTCTGTTATTGACTTATCAGTACACCATTTTAAGTATATAATTAAACAACTTTTACCTGTAACTACTGATTTATAGTCAGTTTAAGGAAATAAATACATTTTAAGAAAACTGATTTTTTTAATAAATTGGCGATTAAAATTAAATAAATTACTTTTATTATTTCTAAGTTTCATCATTATTCAAAAAATGTAATTGTAAGTCGGAATAAATGGTGTTTGGTGTATGCATAATTAAGCTTTATTGTTAACCACTGAAAGGATCCCTAACTACAAATATTCCAAAATCATTATCATCATAGTTGTATTTCAGTCTCGTAAGTCTACTGGCTTAAACCATTCAAGAACTTTCTAACATATTTTAGAAGTTAACATAAAATGTTTAATAAAAAATACTAGTAAAATTGAATGTGATTGACTATGAAAAACAATGACTAGTTTAAAAAAAATGCAATGTTGGTAGATTGTTAACTTTCAAAACATACACATTATAATTAGTGATATTTCATGTTACTAATGTTCATGGTAAGAAAATAATTGCAAGAAATAACTGAATAAATCACGGACGCCACCACACTGATCACAATACAGAATTATTAATTGTTAAAATGTTATTAGTGAAGATAATTTATTACCTTGCATTGTTTGACAAGTCTTTGTATATATCGGACGATTTTGTACGATCGTATGCATCCTAAAAATTAGGTAATGGTAGAGATTCGGTGTCAGAGTACGATACGATACATTTTTCCAAATACTCATGAAGTTTATAATTCAGTGCTTCCTTTTTAAAAAATAACAATACGTAGTTAGACATAAATTTAGGTAGAAGATAGAGAATTACATAAATTATGGCCTTAATTAACTCAAGTGATACGAAAATATTTTACTGTTTAATGAGACGTAGCCTGAATGAGAATTCTTTATTTCAAGAAAATAAAACATTTTCAGGAATTATATTCACTCTGACAGCATTTAACCTAAAGACAGATGTTTCGGAGAGTGTTAGTTCGTTCAAGAAATATTAATTTCCTGAAATAACTTAGAATAAAATTTTGCATAAGAATATTTTATTATCATAAAGTAATTGTTGTTTGTTTTTTCAGCAGTTCAAGTTGTTGACTTTTTGACTAATCGATTACAGTCTATATCTTATTTGTTTGCATAAACTGTATTCTATTGTTTTCAAAATTAATAGACTTCACATCACTTGATAACTATAAATTCTGTATAAAGTAACAAATTAAGTATTACATATTTCAGTTTCACTCATTCGTATGTGATAACCAGATATTTTGCTTGCATAGATTAAATTTAGTTTATATTCTACTAAGAGTGTAGTTCTATATTATTAAACTATTTTTTTCACCAAATTCAACTAAGAATACTAATGAATTAAATCAAACACTACTTTAATATATTAGTAGTACAGTAATAATTTTGACGACTTTTTATCTTTTTATAGCTGTAAACATCATTGTATTCTTAGCATAAAAATTGTTTTCATTTTAATAACAATGAAAAACTTCTACTATCATCTACCCAAAAATTAAACAATAATAAGTGCTAATAAAGGAAGAATTCAGTGTGTAGATGTTGTTTACACGAAAATGACACAAATCAAAATAAAGCTGTAAACAAACAAATGCAGGTTAAAATTTCAAAAAAAATCTATTCATTGTCTAATAAGTTGACTTTTCTATTATACATTTTGTCCAATGGTGTTTTTTGCTTAAAAGAGTTATATGATAAACTTACAAGAATTTCAGATCGTTAGTCAGAGTACAAAATATCCTTACTTTCGAAAACCAATTTTTATAGCCAAAATGGATTCTTATGAAAAATTATACTGCAGTTCTGAATGATGATAATTGTTTATAAAAAATACTCTTTAAATGTTTACTACAAATATTTTTCTTAATTTATAAGTCCACTATACATATATATTATTCGTAAACAGTTAGAATCGTCAGCACACTTCAACATCATTTTAACCTGCAAAATTTAGAGTGGTAATGTTTACTTCTTTAGGTGATATTTCTAACCATTAGTTCTTTTGCTGTTGTGATACTATCCAAAGTTTCTCTACATAGATCTGAAAGTAGGATTTTCTTCAAAATAATGTTGGCTATATTAAGTTTAGTAGCTTCAGGCGATATAGTGAAGTAATCTATTTGATGAAATGCCGGATAAAGTTAAAGTGCATGGAAAACTAACGTGTGCAACCAAAAACAACTTAATCTAATTAAAGTTACCAAGTTAAGACCCTCAATTGGTTGTTGTTTGTAGAGACGCTGTCCATAAACTTGTTCTTTCATAATGTTTTCTGGTACATTTCTGTAAAATACCTGCTGGAAAAATTATTATTTAAATTTTAACGAATCGATATCAAGAAAAAACTTTGATTGTGGTTAGTTGACTAATTCATAAGCTCATCATGCAATTCAACCTAGAACAACACATTTGCATGCATTAGTGCTTTTAACTTGCCTGCTTGTAAGTCGTTTTAGAACCTACTATTAAGGCGTTAATTATAATTTATAAGGCATACTTTTAAAGTACGTCTTCAAACTACTCATCAAACAATTAAAATCATCAATTGGTCAACATATAATGGCTTAAGTATCAAAAGTGACCAATTTCAAATGATACACTCCATTGATTATAACCTATTGTAGAAGTTTCAGGAAAGGTCTATGCAGTGTACCAACATACTAAATCATTTAGGTCTGATACTAAAAATATATCACAGTTCAAATAGTTTAAAGGATAAATTTCCTTTCATGTTCGATTAAGTTATTAGGTAACTCATATCCTTTTATCTTATAAGTGGGTAGTAGTTTTTAATCTATACGATTCATGAACAATGAATTATATTGTGGCGGTGTTTCGTTCTCTGAGCTGGTTGTTTTGGTTGTGGAGCTTTGATTGTTCTTCTGAAAAACATCATCAGCACAAACTCGAGATAGAAGTGAATGAATGAATGAATTATATACCCTAAATTGGATACAACATGTAATACATGATCAAAGAAGTAACCAAGAACACAATCTAAATAGCCAACATAATCCAAGCTTTCAACATTACGAAATACTTCTTCATTAAAAATGAGTTGCCTGTAACTTTTGTATGTTTTCCTTGAGGTACAAGAAAGCCAGAATAATTCAAAACACTGACCTCTAGATAAAATTTATAAGATTAAACAAACTTAAACTCGCAACTTTTTTTACGTATCAATAAAAACCAAACATAAGTACAATAACAACCAGCCAAGTTTTTTTGAAAATCCTTTGAAGATGGGATCAATTAGTTGCCCACCTTACTTAAACGTCTTGAGTGAGTACAAAAAGCCTAAGTGAATTCGTTTACTTGTTTGATATAAGTATATCCAACAAATCATTTGTGTGTATGTTTAGGCCTAAAATGAACGGAGAATGAATCTCCGCAGTTTGTTATAGCGATCTGTTGAATTAAAATGGTGGTAGTTGTTTTATAGTGTAACAGTGGGCTGATATAAAACCTGGATTATCATTTCACATATGTATCGGGCTAAGTTAGGTAACATTGAAAATCATGGTTACAAATAAATCTGCTTTCATTCAGGAAGCAGTTTCTGAATATGTACCCAATTACAGATGACTACTTTGATCATTTTGATAGCATGGAATCAAAGCACATGAACCTATTCAAAGACTAGCTTAGGTTGGAAGCTGTTGGATATTCCAGTTAGTAAATAGTAGGTAATTATTTCTTATAAAATGTATGAGATAGATTCGTACCTAATTTCTAAGATAAAGTAAACTTTATGTATCATGTTTTCAAAGAAAGGAAAGATTTTAATCCATCCAACTTGAAGATACAGCTGATTTATAATCCTTTGATGCAGTCTGATTGGTCTGCCTTGTACCAAAAACACAGAAGCACTTTAATCTGGACTTTTAGTGTATCTTAAGACAGCATTTGAACACAAGCAACCCTAAATGCATGTCAAAGAACGTAAAATAGGTCCATTATAGGCTGTAAATAGTTCAATACTGAAAGTATAATTTATCTCGGACATTATAATCCTCTTCGAATTTGTCATAATGTAACCGAAAAGACGATAAAACATTGATATTAAAAGTATCTGACCAAAGTTACGCAATCTCAGTGACATTATCCTTCTGAACTACAATTAGTCGTCATAGGAAATCAAAGTTAATAGTTGAAACCTTCAATTAAAGGATAACCACACATGATAAGTTTATCTGAAAAAGAAGCAAATTTAGTATTCCTAATTTACTTTAAATTCAAATAAAATCACTTACTGTGAACTAAAATGTTTTAAAATATTCTGTAGAAACAATGTATATAGAGTTCTAGTTCATCAGCTCGATATAAATCCAAGCTATATCTCACAAAGCAGAGTCTGTTATTAACTCTTTTGTAGCTGATAAACAACTTACCATAAGCTTTTATATTAATGACCCATGCTTATATGTATCAGCCAGTCTGTTAGTCAGTTAAAACGTAGTATTTCGTACGTACGTACATCAGTTCACGTTCCAATACTACATCAGCACAGAGACTCAACTGTCAGTTCTAATCCCTTAGTGGCAGAGATAGTAGAAATATTAGCAATAATCGAGACGAATACGGTTCGAAGAAATTATTCAAGAAAAGTAATTCAGGGAAATAAATTTAGAAAGAGAAAATTTGAAGTGATGATGAAGTTATAAGATTAAAATCCCAGAAAAGCCAAAGAATGAATGCACTAGAGCCATCGTAAACAGTTTTGAGCCATGTTGTTTCATGACTCTAACTGTCAGTTACTAAATTCTCGTGAACCGCAAACAGTTAGCTTAAACCTACCACTTGACAGAGACATCATGGATTTTGCTATGCTTTGGTCTGGTTGCCACTAACATTCTTCAAGCCTGCTACTACGCAACAAAACATAGATTTACGAGGCAGTCTGTGTCCGGAAATTCGTAACACTCGTCTCAACCGTCTCAACTGTTGAAGTTTCAATACTTCACCTACTGATATGCCATCCCTGACTGGTACTCGTTTTTTAACGACATCATCGCTAATTTGGTTGTTTTCGAGTATACGAGCAATCGTTCAAAGATACCCACGACCAAAAACCAGTAGCCTATAAATATCTCCTCATCGTACTGGTCATGTTTTACAGCCACAAAGTAGGACGGAGAGAACTGCTGAGCAGTACAATCGATCTCACATGGAGTAACATTTACTTTTTTGAAAAACAAAATTAAATTAAATCCCATGAATCTAAATGGGATAGCTAATGTGCTACACCTACAGACCTCCAGATATATCAATTAATAAAAACTCACTTGACTACATTCATTTCAGTCATCCGAGTTCCAAAACGGGAAGTCATAGTAAATTATAATTTAAAATTGATACACCTGCATTTGTATGATGGGTAACGTTCACATTGTTAGTTACGACTAAGAATATATTTTTTCATACAACTATTCCGATATTATAGAAATAAATCGTAATTACTGATCGTGAAAACTTTGATAAGTTTCAAATTTTCAGAATAGCTTAACGATTAAAACTTGGCTGAACAGAAGTATTATTCAGGATATTTCTTATATTTTTCATGTTCGTAAATGTTTAACTATATTAGAAACGTTCGCAAATATAACTGAAAACGTAATTTCTAAAGAATAAGCAAAGAGAAAGTCAAACCACATTCCTATTTTACAACAATCTGTAGGCTGTTCTCCATTACTATTGTGGAGCGCAGGTCAATAAAAAGTCAAAACATAAAGAGTTTAGTTGATATGGAAATACGATTAACAGGGCTCATGCCAGAAGTTCAACTGTTTCTCTAAACTTAAAGCAACATTTCGATCATTTTATACAAGTATATACTTATATACTTGAAACAAAACATGAAATAAAATCATAGGGCTAAGCTTACTTTCATACGATCGTCTACTGGGTCCGCGTAATTTCGCAAGTTACGTTCTCCATCTCTAAAAACAGAACTCTTCATATTTTGGAACCCATCATCATTTCTGTACGGTAACTTTTTTTCTTTGCGACAACGTGGCATTCTTAGCTTCTCACAATCTATAATCGAATACTTAAGGTATAATTATAATCGTTTTTGAACTCAAGGTCACATTTTACTGTATTCAAACACAAGGAGAAAACAAAGTGTGAAGTACTGCGTTGATAAGTATACGATATTTAAGGCAGTCTTTATCAATAGAAAAAGATTTTTTGGGGTCTCCTAAATACCAGAATACTCCAAGTTTAGTAAATAACTTTGAATTACTCTCCGTTTCGACATGTGTAAATGTAATTACGTCAGAAATAAAAGAGCAACTCTCAAAGAAAGATACTAATAGCTGTATAGAAACATTATTATGAATATAACTAAATATTTTAGTATACAATTAACTGCCAATTCTTGGATTTATATTTGTCCATTTTCAGGTTTGACTATATTTCCCTGAAAAAGCTAGGATTAGATTTTGAAGCGAAACATTGGATTTCTTGGAAATTCAATCATCTCGGAATTTGATAATATAAATTTTCTCTTAATCTCAAACTACAAATTAGTTTTTGATCTTATCACCTTCTGTAAACGTTTTGGCTGGTGAGTAGTGGACAACCTTTTAAAATAATCACAACCTAGAAATAGGAACGACCACCATTTTTATGACCTCTTATAACCATAAATTTATTAGCTTCTGTAAAGGCTTGCTCCTTTTTCTCCGGTCATTCACGGACAAGGAAACCTAATTTACTTATCTCCAAGATTTTTATCCACTCTGTAAATGTTTTGTAGCAGGCCGCTGATTCGGTAAGGTGAATGTACTAGCAATGTAATCCAGGCTAGTTAGAAAATGTTTGTCCAAGACAACAATGAATATAGTCAGTCTAAGTGGCCTATCTCTTTTGCACAAATTTTCTTATACAGCATGGGAAGCAATCGGATACAATATGAGACTATATGTACCATTTCTACGAGTATACTATGATTGATAGCTCTGTTGTCGAAAAGGCATGTTATCACGGATATGATAACCAGTGAAACCAAAAATTAAGATTCCAAAAGATTTTAAAAATTGTCAATTTGTTTAATAAGATATTATTTAAGTCGACCAGCTATTTCATGAAATCAGTAGTGTTGCGTACCTAATTTTCAACTGATGCGGATGCTTGAACAAGTGCCTTCACGTGGGAATGAATAAAGCAAATTTACTGAGTGTAACTTCATTCTCGAAGACCAGCAGAACAACAATAACTGCTTACCGCTACATAATGGTCAACCACATCCATGTTTCCAACATGAAGGTTAAGAATGTATCCTTACGTCTATCTACTGGTAATGATTTAGTAAAATATGAAGTTTTGAAATTCATACTAAATCTCCAGCTCTATCGTAGAGCAAGCGAATTCCCGAACTACATTAAGATCTACCTTTCTATATGCGACGCTTCTTCAAGTTTTTATTGACTTTGCATACCTATCACTCGGATTTTGTCTGCTTTCGGCTATCATGTGACAAGAGTATGAGATTATAAAATCCCATCCTGGATAATTTATTCATGCGACCGAACTGCTCTTTAGCGGCTCACGACTGTATTCTAGAATAGACGAATGATCGAGTGTGCAATGAAATAGATAAACCTGTCCATATTATCATACCTAAACAAACCCTGTTCCTGCGATGGCGGTAGAAAGCAGCCAATTACGTGTTGCAGATTAATTTATTTTGCGGATTTACCTTTGCAGACGGACATGAGAATAGAAAGCATTTAATCAGAGCGAGACGAATTGGAGTGAGCCAATGCTCATTCGCTGAAGCAACGACTACGTAGATATAGTCAGGCAGTAATAAGCTAGATGTAGTAAATAAGAAAGTAAGCATGCACGTACGCAATCAAGTATACAATAGTCGATACTCTTATCGAATAATTTAAACGATTATTTATTGAAGTACAGTGAATCAATTGTGAGATGCTTCAGCTTTCCTTACATTTCAGTGAAATAAGAATGAGTTTACTGTAGGTCAGGACAGCTAGTTATTTAAAACTGGCAGTTAGTTGTGTACTCGTTATATTTCCCACTCAATTCTTACCTGAGTTCTAACTCTTATGTCGAATAATGGCTAAGCTGTTCTTCTAATTTCATCATAAGGTTTTCGTTAGACCAAAATCACTATCTTCAGCATCGTGAAAATTCGATTTTATTAAGTGCTGTAATCAGCGATACCTTCGTGGACGCTTCTTTTAAATTGAGTCCAACAGGAACGAAGGAGTTCTATAAAATCAGTTTATTTTTTCTTATAATCCGTTTGTTGTTTTTCGATATGAACCTTGCTCATTTTATCTGTTGATAGAGTTTGTAGACATTCGAAGGCTTAATCGTCCTCTGTGTCTCATCTATGAATAAGATGCACGTCGACTTCATTTAGCAGCTGACCAATTAAATAGATTTCGTCCTTTTTTAATAAGCGGATTGATTATATTTATCAAAAGTATGAAAAGAGAAAAACCGTTGGTACTTTTTCAGTGTTTGACGATGTTTATTTAGACGACCGATACTTCCAAGCAACGCCAACCTAAATTACGTTTATATGAGTAAACGATTTTGAAACGTCAGCTACAGCTACTATCCGTTCTTAGAATATAAATGAGAGATTATCATGCAAAACGTGACTTGGATTGCTACATTTTTCCTCAGCTCACTAAAAAATGTGACTGTTCGGAAATTTGTGTATTTTACATACCAATACACAAACCTCACGAGAACCACATGACTATATAAGAGATGCGTGTTATAAATTCTGCCTCCTGGCTTCATGAAAGTAAAAAAATAATAGGTGTACAATAAGTACAATTTCAAAACTGATGGAACTGGGGTATCCTGTCGGTCCCATGGCTTGTCACTTTAACTAAACTGAAAGGAGTGTAGAATTGTATCGTTCAAGTAGACTGGTATAAAATGTTGTTTGCTTCATAGATCATCTTTAATAGTATACTGGAGAAATGGATGTTACGGAATGCAACTGCTCCATTAGTTGACAACTATGGTTACAATGTCGGCATCCGATCAACTACATTATTCAGTTCAATGAAGCCATCATTTTTATTAGGTTTTGTGAAAAGTGATGGATTCGCATGATAAGCGCTTAGACCTCAGAGAATATCAAGTATACTATTACACGGACATCCAACTGGATTAAAATCCTGTAGCCTAATGTTGCTGAATTATGAATAAATCTATCTCATCGTCGGATGGTGTTACAAGTTACATATTTTGGCATCTTTACACCTATTGATCTGGGTTAAGTTCGGGGATTCCAATCGCGTTTTCTATGTGACTGATTTAACTATCCTATGATAACCCTTACAATACACTGTCTATTTTCTAAGACCACGAAATCAAAGACCCCAACATTTACAGAAAGTATGCTTTTCGAAAATTATACGCAGGTAAAACCTTGTCTGGTAGTGACGACAAAGAAACCAGGGTGAATGAAATCAACTAAATGATGCGATCCCTGAGCCGAGTACAGATCCCAATGAAAAAGGCTTTGACGATTTTTTGGTAGTGTTTGTTCCAAATCACAAGCAGTAACGTTAATCTCAATGATCTGGTGGGAATTTTGAGATCTAATCGTTTTCTTTACTCTCAAACAATAGATGAGTCGAACCTCCTGTACATGGAATGTTACATTTGAGCTATTTAGTAATAAATTCTGTATGAGGATAACACAATAATACCATGTTTACATTTTGCCGGTATAAACACATCTTCATGAGAAACTGAGCATCTCCTTAGTCAGGGTTTCTAACCAACTGATTTAATACAGTACATCTTATTTTGTCATATAGTATATGCTTTCGAAAAAATAGCAAAACGTCCACCTAATGCATTTAATCTACTGCATCCTGAAATATTTGATTTGTTTGCCTAAAAAGTTCCACAGAATTAAGTTTTGGTTTAAGTCTGAAATCTCAAAGGTTTGTGTGATTTCATTTGCTCCAAGGAGTGACCGAAAGAGACCTCGATATCCCAATAATTTTGCCTTATTGGTTGGTTCACACTACCTCCTAAGACATAATGTGTTATTAGGCGAAAATAAACATGGAAAATACAGACGAATACCGAAAGTCAGACTACATTAATTATCCTGTTTTTTAGTGCCAAACATACATTTGGGATAATCTAACGGAATGCTAGCAGTTTTATTCAGTTAGACCTTGAACAAAGTACAAGTAAGGACTAGGACTCAAAGTACGTAGTATGAAGTAGCTCTTTTTCGATATCAAATTTCAACTCAACACATGATATTTAACTCTTCCAAAGATATGAAAGTTATTAAACAGATTTAGATAATGTATATTTTTTGTTTGCGATAAGTAATTTTCAGATCAGCTAGAATGTCATGATTTAAATAAAGAAAACCGACAATGGAGTCGGGAAAACCTATTGGTTACATCAAGCACTCGGTTTATATCTGTCATTATATATGAATAAGAAGTTGTTTAAAAACTTTACGGTAGGCATTCATATTTAATTGAAAGTAGCACGTATACTAAGCATTCAAAGTGGTAGATTTTTAAACGTGTAAAAGATGCGATAGACAACTTTGCAAATGTTCCGATACCTTTCGGTACGGTTCCAGGTGTCTGGTAGTGTCCAATGGATGAGGATCTAGCCAGTGGACTGCCTGATTTTAGTTATTTGGCAGTTGTTTATGTGTTTGTTTGTCCTATGTTTCGAAGGAATACGTTTGTCTGAGGGCAGTAGGGCTTCCAGATACCAGTAGCTATCACGTTATCAGGCTAGATACCAGTTAGTTGCTATGTGTAAAATAATAAGGAGAAACCTCTAATGCCAATAAAAATAAGATTTCAGGACTAAGTAAATAGGTGGATAATGTAGTTTACTAAGTGGTAGTGAAGATTGTGCGAGAGTACTGAAGTGTAAGCAAGGGAGAGAAAACAAAGATAATGATTGAAGTAGATTAAGTTAGCGATCTGAGGAGATGGCAATCATAAGAACTAGCAGGTCGCAAGAAATGCAGCAGACGCAGCTGGTCCAAATGTTCATAATTTTTGTACCAAATTTTTGAAAATTTACACTAGGATGATCAGGAAATCTGAAAATGAAAACTCATTATTGTCGCAAAAACAGTTGCTATTTAATACGGACATATAAAGCTTTCATTAATATGACCTATCAATCAAATAATCGCTGTTCAGTTTTTTGTATATTGATGTACACGAATAAACTGATATTTTCTTTATTAGTGGATTCATGAATTGTTGCGTTTAGCAGTCAGTCGTTCTAGTAAATAGACAATATCCAGTCTTTTTAAATTATATTTCTGATGTTTGTCTTTTTCATTTGTATGGTTGCCATCTCTTTGCTATTATTTGTGTTATTTCTGTCACACTGTGCTAGCATGGTTTTTTAAGTGTGTCAAGTCAGTGATAGTTTATGTGCTGAAGATATCTATTCGTCAGATGAAGTCGTTAATTAAAATGAAGCAACCACTAAATTGTTTACTTGTGGCATTTATTTGCTGTTAAAGCTCATGACATCAGATGATTTCGTTAGAATTTATATGCGTTACTAAAAACATGAAGTTATCTGACTCCTATGAATTCCTTTTTGATCCTTCTCCTATAAACCAATACTGCATATTTATATCTAACAAACATAAGTTGAAAATTCTCTAAGTACCGATTGCATTAATACTAAGATTAAAAATTTATTTTAAGTAGCTGAAATACAATCAGCATGACCTGCTTTTAATAAGCACTTTAAACTGCAATCTATTCAGACTCCCTCAAAATATGTTATAGTGAATAAAAAATTGAATTCAGTGTGTAAAATTTACTTCAAAAGACATTTATATCCATACGGCTGTTTCTGCGATGATTTTCAGCGCCCTTGTATAAGTGAGTGAATTGTATCGTAAGAAAGAACAACTCACTAATGTATGTTAGCTTATGCGACAGCATTATGTATCAATAAAATTAAAGAAAACTGAAAACTGAAGATCGTTCAAGATGAATAAGACGATTGTGAATGGAATTTACGTAAGCGAATAGACAAAACATTCAACACTAAAGCAAAAGTTAGTGATGGACAGATGTTTAAAAATAATCAACATAGGGTTTCCCGTCATTGAACCTAACCGATTTTACAGCTGCAGCTGTGAACCTTCTCGGTATGAGATAGATCATCAGATGCTTATGTCATGAGCTGATGTCATATCATTTCAAATCTTTGAATATAAGTTTCTAACAGAATAAACGTATCCTAACTGTTTCATGTATAAAAGGTGAATGTAAAGCGAATATTTTCAATCTTACTGAAAATCTACCAATAGAGATATGATATTTTAATAATTTTAAAGAGTTGCGATTAACTAACTGAATGTAGAAATGACATTTTATGAAAAATTGTCAATTAAACAATAATATACTACAAAAACAACTGCCTTATTTCTAGCAACTTACTGTTGACAAAGCAAATGGTGTACAGTTTGACCGCAGCCTGTCAAAACCCAACTACTTTTTAGACAATTTTAAACTATCTAGATAAGCGTTGCAAAGTTTACTACAACAATATTAATATACAATCAAAACCAATTTTATTCTCAGTGGAGCATTTAAAATTAGTTCACGGAAAATAATGAATTTATAATTAAACTTAATTAAAATCGGTATTACTACACTATTATCATTTTCATTTTTCAACCATCAAACCCCTACCCTCCATTAAAAATAGAATATAACCCAGCTTTCCTATTCCCTTTCATGCTTCGAATATACTGGTGATTTTATTACTACTAAACTCATCATAGTTACCTAGGTAATTACTGAGCGGAATGTGTAATGGACTTTGATCAATGAGATCTCATTAATAGACTTCAGTTTATTTTAGAGTACTCAGCTGCAGAGTTTTAAGTATTTATGATTATCTATATCTAGATAAAAATATTGTAAGCGTAGTGCAATAGTACTCTGATCACATGAAAATAAATTTATACTGACAAGCAAAATGATTGAATTTCTTAAATAAATATTTTATTGAAATGTATTTATTATTCAACAACAAATATGCGAAAGCTTCTAATTCATGAAAAGCATACAATCTTTATTTTTTATTCAAGTTTAAAAAAGAAAATAAGAAAGCTCCCTAAATAAACGTAAATAATTGTGTTACATCGTTTTAACTATTGTCATTTTCCATTCAAGCGACAGCTGATGCATTAATCTTCATACTATTATATATCTAATTAAAAAGAAAAGATATAAAAAGAAACGTATTTAAATATTGATGAAAATTTATAAATTTTGCTCGCAAACTCATTTTTATTTGAACATTTTATTCAAAACTTTTACATTTAGCGTACAACCAAAGCATCGCATGATACATTTCATAATCTAAAAGAAAGTGATCTTTTATTATAGTTAAATCTATGATCAACCGCTTATAAATTTCACAAAAAGCTTAATTGATTTAAACAGAATGAATATACAAATATAAAGAATAATTTTACTTAACACATTTCTGCATAAAAATATATTAGGAAACTATTTGTTTCTTATTTCACTCTTCAAGAATACCAAAATAAGGACAAAACATTATTACTGACCTGATGTTCAAAACATTTATTTTTTGACCAATACATCTTATATTGTTAAGATAACCTTCACATAAGACCCGCTTCGTTCGGCTGACTTTCAAAGTATCGAACATTAATAGTGACCAATGATTGATTTCGTTTTTAATGTAAGGAAGAATTGTCTACTTACTTTTGAATTCAAACTACAACAATAGAATTAATAATCGCTATCTCAGCAATATGTAAATCATAATTATCTTCTCTTTTACATTCCGGATACATTACCCAAGTGTTTGACGTCTGATAATTTAATCGCTGAATATAGTGTTTTATTCATTATATTATCATTACACGGATCTGTTAATAAATCAGTCAAAAGGTATATATATATATATATACACATATATATATCTATAAACATTACATTGTGATGTGTAATTACATACTGAATACAACCACTAGGTAAATGTTTTCACATACATTCAGGACAATCTTATTCTAAAATCTCATTTCTACAATATATCTTTATCGATAGGTGGTATTATTTAAAATGTGAAGTTTTGTTTATAACAGCTATAAAGGAAGTCTTTAAGTCGTACCTAGCGATTGAATATATAATTTATTCATTTGAAGAATCCCATTATATCCAAAATATTTGTTTTGAATGTAAATGTTTTCCTCTCAAACTTATCTAGATATCCTAACATTTGAATAACTTGTAATTAGGATTTACGTATTCATTTCTTCCATCAACATATTTCGGTTGCTATATGGTCACAGTAAACTAGGTGGGAATTATTTTAAGCTGAGAAATAAACATCAATTAACAGTGAATAGAATATTCACGGTAATATAGCTCTTTTTCACTTAACAATAAGCAAACAAAAATTTTATCTTTTTCTGAATGTATCGTAAAGTGAAAATAAACTGCTTGTTGTGTCTCAAAGTAAATGATTGAAATAGAAATCATTCTGTTAACTTTCAAATAAAATGTTCGATATAAAGAAGCTTAAAGTACTTGGTCTTCATATTTAATTTAAGAGTATTCAATGGACATTTTGAAAGTTGAAAACTTATCTGTCAAGTGTATATGTGAATAAAATGGTAAATTAGACACCTAGTTGTTAGAACCAAGCATTATATTGAGCAAATCAGTTTTTTTAGAATAATTGTTATTCCTAAATTTGTACAAATTTCCTTGCACATAAGTCAGTTTCCAGTCTAAGCATCAAGTAAACGTAATTCTCTCTCCAAATAACTAACTTTGTAAGAAACATGAACATGTATCTACATAATTATTGCTCAGGAATGTCAGCAGAAATGAAAACGAATCATTAAAGGTTCCATTTGTAAATGTATATGCTTCTGAATTCACCAGAAAAATGGACAAACAACAACTGCATACATTTCAGTTTTATCCATTTTTGAATAAAATGTATCATTTAATAATGTTAGCAATCTGCTTGATCATAGCTTTTAGTTAACTGTATTCAGTCGACATTATCAAGAAATACTGACTAGGATAATGTTTCTGGTGCTTAAAGGGAAAAAAAATAAAATTTACATCGCATAAAAATGACAGTAACAACAAACGGCATATGAATTGTCTCAGTGTCTTGAAACAAAGAAAAATTGGTTCAGTGAAGAGTTTTCTTTTAGGCGATTTCATTGTCTAAGCTATACATTCACAAGTTTATACTTTGTCTCATAGTGATGATTTCAATAAGAGTGACAAAAAGAATTTCGCTAAACAAGGTAACAGTGAGGTAAATTAGACAAAGCTTAAAAAGTTATTTTGATCAAAGGAATTCAAGTTCTTAGTCATAACTATTTTCCTAATTCTTTTAATTGAAATAACGTTTAGTACCTTTATCTAATTTGCCTCACTGTTATCATGTATATGAAAATTGTTTTTTTTTTTAATCTAATAAAATAATATCAAAAAGTATTTGATCAGCTAATCGATCTAAATATTGCTCACCAAAATTCTACATTGTTTAAGCAGAAGCAAGAAAATGGCTGGCCTCCTCAATAATAGTACCCATCGTTCGTATTCCTTCTACAAATATTAAAAAATATTTCGGATAAAACTAAAACGTTTCACAAGAGAAAACTGTTTATATTGCTTGTCTTGGTTATTCTGTTTGATCCTCTTCAAATTTGGATAAACAGACTAAAAATTACTTGCTAATACAAGATATTGTACTTTTGGCTTGAACAAATCAAGATCAGTTAACTCAGAGAAGTACAAAACGTCACACATGAAGCACCAAAACGATTGTAATTAGAAGGCTGATATGTATGATTTGTCAATTAAACCAACGTTTACTTACACTGCCATCTGTGTCAATTACATCAGTTTGTTGAAATGTCATAAAAAATCATGCTTAATTGCTGAAACCAGGCAATAATGCATAAACAATCTTCTGACTAGACAGAATATATTTCAGACAATGTGTATCAGCATTTACGACATGATTAACTGTATATTTTCAAAAATCTTGCGGACAATGGTTTACTCAATTATGCTTAATACACTCAGTCTAAAACAAGTAGAAATGTTATCAAATGAATTGACTTTAACTAATCATCCCTAAATTTTATAATACTTAGGACCATCCAACACATTTATCTCTTGTGTAGTAAAGGAAAACGAAATGCACAATTTCGACTCATATAGGTTTTAGATAAGCAACAACCAAAACATGATCTATACTAGAATGCTCATGATTTTTGAGTCAGCTTATATGTCCCGTGGACACGACAACTATTTCAAACTTTATCATACGTGTCTATTTTACATGCTTACTGAAAACAAGTGAAAAACAAAGCGTGTGGTAGTAGTAAATCACGTGAGAGGTAATATTAGCATGGCTCATTAGTTTAAAATATTAAATACTTTATATTAATGCACAGATTTCTGTAAAACTACATGAAGTAAGCTATTCATCTTGGATATTACTCTTTAAGCTTCTAAATTCCTTAGTAATCATAAGAGTTAATGGATTGCATTGAATGAAGTATCATCAGACAACGTTTTCTTTCTTCATCATAAGGTGGCATTAAGTGTTTCTGAAGATAATCCTGTAAATAACTATATCAACACTTGCTTAATTTCAATTCAATATGTGGTTTTCTACCGAAAATGATAATGACAATCACATGACCGCAAAACATAATATAAGTAAGCACCAAGAATTATAATCTATACTTAGTGAACAAACACCAACTAATTTGTAAAAAATGTTTGATGTTTACAAAAGAACAAGGTGACTCTGCAGAGTTGAGAGACTGACGAAGATAAATAACATATTTTTACCTTGATTTTACTTCATTTGTAAAATGGTGTTTCAGTTCTAGTTTGTCCTGTCGTCCTAGTCAACAAATAATTTGGTTGAAAACTTTTTTTTAAAGAAGAATCCAAAGCTACGGTGAGAGAATTTGTGTACTAGTTTTTGTAATGATTTCAACTTGGTTGACATGGACAATGGGATCCCTCATTTATTTCTATTTTTAGTTTAATGTCATTTCGTAAAATCACAGTATGTCTTTACTATCCGGCTAAATACTGTGATTGAAGTTTTAGACAGTATATGACCGAGAAACAGATAAGCTTTTCTAGTTCTATATTTGCAAAAGACAGTTGGTTTTATCCGTGACTTACGAGTGATCAGAAATCTATGTACATTACTGATGAAACATGTACTTTTAAAATCTAAGTTTTATTTGGCTTTAATTAGTTTGAATATTGTCGAAGATTCTATCTGCTGTAAAACTCTTCTTCGAGATCAATAAATATCAAGAAATAGAGTTCTATATTCACTCACGTGTGGTAAATCTGAACCCTTGGATATGTATGAGGAGAATATGAAATGGTGTTGCCATTATTGGAAATCGTGCTGTTTAAAGTTTGAGATAAGAAAATACAAAGAATAAGAAATAAAAATATCAAATAGGTAAACTTTTATAAATCTATTTCAGATTAAACTATCAAATGATAACTCTTCACCATTTCTGAGACAGCTGTGAAAATTAATAATTATCACCTTACTATATAATACGTGCATTTTCTCAGTTGTTAATGATGTTTGCACTGGCTTCTTTCAGCCATTGTGAAAAATATTTTGGGCGATAAAGTTTAAAACAATAAAGAGATTAGATATCACCACCGCATTTTCTAACGTATTCTTGAGGAACTCAAAAAACAAATGGTAGAATAAAATCACATATCAGAGGCTGTATAGGAAGGTAAAAAGAATACGAACTGCGTTTTAACTGCATAATCGATCCTATTTGAATAGTGAAATTATTAGGAATGATAGCTGGAATCCCAAAGATAAATTCCTAAAAGATTATTGACTTCTTCTGCAATAAAAAAGTAGCAGTGTAGTTATATTTTAGGTGATGTTTTTTAGTTAGACATGATACTATCTCTCATAAATAATTTTCAATCTCTACAAATAAAAGGTTGTACAATCTATTTTAGCAGTCATAAACTTTAAGTCACATGGTAACTAATTGACATTTAAATAACTTCTCCATATTCAATTTTGACATTCTTATAGATGAAACATTTACGAACTAAAAATTATATCACAACATCCATTTTGCCTACAATAGTATATTCAGAGCAACTCAGTAGGCGTAAGTAAGTGAGTAGTCGGATACGAACTTTGTAATAATAAATCTTCTTTTGAACACTGTGATCCATACACAGAACTTAAATAATAAAAGCTTTTTGAAAGGGTCTGTATTTTATGATATAAAGTAAAAAAGCTAGCAACTATTACGTCAAGAATCTCATAAAGCGTACACTTACAGTCATTTATTCAGAAACTTAATGCTTTAAACTCAAAACTGTGACGGCAATATGATGGATAAATCACTGTAACGTAAAGTGTTCTGCAAGAATATCTGTTTAGTAGGTTTTCAACTTCAATCTACTCATTTACAAAATTCCACCAAAATATTACAAATTAGATTTCGTCCGGCGAAAGCTGATATAAAATTGTGGATAAAATCATAATATTGTCGGGGGAAAAACTCACTCAGGATCTATCGTTGGAGGGTTGTATAACGAACGACGATATGGGTACGACGAATATGTTCGTGGCGAGTATAAATCTCCAACAGATCTGTGATAAAAGTCATACAATGTCACAGTTAAACCATTCAATTATAAACATTCTATTATATTCATTAAATTAATCGGTATCCTCTTAATAAAATGTATGTGATCGTGAAAGCTTACACTAAATAATGGACAACAACATACTCTAACCTTAACGTTACACAATATTTACTATAAAACTGATAGCTTGAGTACTAGTTAACGTATCAAAGAAACAGTATCGATCATTAAACTGACAAAGGATTTTAACATGCCACTATGTTTAAGATAGTCATGGGCCCACTTCATTCCAACATAACACTATTAAATCCTAAAATATTAATTTGTAGTCATGTAGAACAACTGATATCTGATCATTTAATTCTCAGTCCTTCATTCAGACATAATATACATGGAGACTTATATAAGTGCTATCACAAGCGGAAATCAACAAAATGAACTTGAAAAGGACCTTAATGATACATGAGCAATAAAGTTAAGGGAAATTGAGGATTCAGAATACGATTCGAAAAGACGGAATGAAGAGATGTATGAAAGAATTTATGTAGTCATAATCCAAGGCGAATAAAGAAATCAATGCATCTGCACCACTCTGTTTGATTACAGGCTATACCATCCAAATTTCAGCTAGAGGCAAACCTCACTTGAATTTTAAAAAAAGCTATAATTAGTAAACGATTGTAGGAACAGTTAAAATAAAATAAATATTAATCAACTATTTTTTGTGATCTTTAAACCAGAATACTTACGAGCGATATGACGGATAAACAGGCTGATAAGAAACGGGCTGAACATAACTACGACGCTGATAACTGTTTGGCATAGGTCTTCATAAAAGGGGAAAAATAAAAAACGAATTTTTAACATCAAATTAAGCTTAATAAAACTAAGGTAATATCCACTAACTACTGACTGCTCAAAAATGTTCCATTTTGATCTTGAAGTTTTCTTGTACTTGTGGAATATTTGAGATGTTTATCTGATGGATGACCACTAGCGTTTTATACAGCTGGCATTAGAGAATCTTGGGGATAGAATCGTCGTATTAATAACTTTCACTTTTACTTATTTTTTAATGAAATGAACTTTCATCCATTTTTTGTCCGACAATAGGTCTAAATGTTTTCGTGAATGCCGTGTGTGTCTCAATATAAATACCAGTTTATATAGTTGTTAGTCAAACTAAACACACTAATTCAGTTTTCAAAAATGAACTGTGCCGTTATTTTCAGTCCCTGTTTGCTTTCTAAAACTTTCGAGACAAATGTTAATAGTTTATTCTATTATTCCTTTCCTTCCAACGCAATTCATAACAGCAAAGTAACAGGATTTGACCTGAAAAATTTGTTTGTAATTTAAATAGGTAGATGTAATCCATAAAAAGATCAAGTTAAAAAAAGATAAGTTGGTGAGCTTATGTCAATAACAACAAAAATTTATCGGAGCTTTAACCACCATATTTTTGTTAAAACTCTAAATACTCACCCAGGATAAAGTGTTTCTGTAGGCTGATAAACTGAAGGAGGACGAGAGTAGTAAGTCTCACGTGGTCTATTTAAAGGTAGAGAAAAAAAACATATGACGAAGTGGGACCATATTTACAAAGGGCGCTTTTAATGTAAGTTCAAAATGCTTATTATTCTATATATATAAAATGCGAAATATGTAAGTCATGCGATCGACAAACATATATAATCTGACAAGTTAAACTTCATCGAAATTATTTAGTTCAACAAATTTAGGAGTCGGTATTGTGGTGGTTTAAATAATTGTATTTTGACTCACCTATTGGTTTTCACTTTCATTTACTTACGAAAACCTTGTTTGGAGCAAAAACGTCTATATTAGGAACACCAGTAGTCCCAAACTTCGTAAATATACTACTATTCTTATCTATACTTCTGAATATGAATAGAAATTTGTTTTTTTTGACAAACGAAAGGACTGAATAATTGTTCCAAATAGAATATGTTCTAATCGTATCATTACATCCTGAAAAGTACTCGAACGAAAATCTCAAGAGCTGATGTTTTTATATGAACTAAATGCAGGTTCAACCCGCAGATATCAAAAAATATTTTGAGCCAGCTCACATTACTGAACTCTCACTAATTAAAGTAAGTTCAGTATTTTAGTAAACGAGAAAAAATCCAAACGCATCTGCCCTAGTAATTTCTGAGGTAAAAAGGCTGTTGGTGTTGTAGAAGCATACCGTTCTGGCTACAGGATCCTTATCATTAAATCCTGAATTTATGAAGGAACTCTCGATATCTATTGGAAAATGAATTTATTCTCACTTGTTTCTTGACTAGCGAAATCCTCTACTTTAAAAATAGTATGAATTTTTTCATATGAAGTTTGGTGTAACTCGACTAATTTAATGGCCCAGAATCTGACTTCGATTCGGAAAAACAATTAAATAAATCTCTTTCTCAATTTTCGCATACCATGTGTAGGCAAAACCCGTTTGTGTGATAGCGGAAAGAAGAAACCAAATACCGATTCAGTTGGATGAGCTTATTTCATACAGTCGATCACACAGACAGATGCGAGAATAAAAAGCAAAGCAAATAAAAAATGGGCTAGACACATGACGAGCGAAGTAAGCAATGCACACAAGTAAAAATAACTAAGATGTAATCAAATAATTGACAAGACCAAAAGATGTATGAATAGTGAATCGGGCAGAATGGGTTATTGTTTTTTTCAGAAAGCTAGGACGAGCCATATAGGCTCAACATCTTAGTGCACACACTACACCATTCTCCTTCGTCCCATAAGTTTTAATTTTTGAACCATTAAACTTGCACCTAAATGATTTATTTACTACAAGGTGTTTGGTTAAGACTCAGTGTAACTTTATCTAAACAGAAAAGTTCAATAAATGTTTTATCAGGAGCACAATAACCAAAGCCCTTGTCTCCTTCTCAAATGGGATGAACTTCTTTGGCAATCGTTGGACATTCGTCTCAATATTCCAAACCAAGTGAGAAGAATATTTCTTCCAGAATTAAGGAATTCTTCAGGCAGATAAAAACGTTTGCTTTCCGAAACATGCTTTTTTTACAGTTTTCCAAAATAAGGCCTCTATAGTCAAGTTTTTAATGGGGTTTTTCCTATATTTTTAGCAAGCGTCTAGTCTTAACATCCCCGAACAGATAACTTTTGCTGGAACCCTCGAGTAACAGGTAAGCAGACGAAAAACGTAAAGAAATACATTTCATGTAAATATTGTCTACTAACCTATATAAAATACATTAACGAAAAGGACGATAACATACCATAAGCTGATAAATCCGTATAAATTTGCTACGACTATATACTTACCTTGCATAATATGTCTCGACAGGCTGATATACAGAAGGCGGACGTGAGTAGTAGTCGTAATTTGGTGGATAAGGCCTACAAGTTACATAAAAAGTGAAAGACAACAGGTTTATAAGACATTAAATCCATACTAGACAAAAAGAACATTAACAGCATTTTCTTGATTTTTGATAATCAGATTAGGATAACAGCCTCTCGCGATAAACCTTTCCTTCCAAAAACTTTTATATCCAATGGTGATGATATGTGTGATACTAAGTTTTTTGAACCATGGTTTGTTCTTCGATTGATTTTATTTGAGTAGACTACAACCATCACAAAATGGTTGTATTTATTTGATCTCAAAGTAAGTACAGCCTATGATGAAAAAGGGAGCTTAATCCAAACATGTGTCTCTAAAATGAAACTCCCATCGGAAAATGGAACACATAGAACTATCAAATTAGAGAAAAATAATTCTTTGACACAATTATTTGCTGTTACACCATCTGAAATGAAAGCCAAGTTAATATTCCATTATTTTTTACATTGAGATACATTTAAGGTCATGTCGAAAAAAAACATACCTTGAGTATCTTGATGTTCGATAATTATAGCGATAGTCGTCCTAAGATAAGAAAGCATATATATATGCATAAAAATTATTGTGTATATGCCAAATGCAAATATATAAAAATCAACTTAAAAAGAGCTCAGATTTACCACGTTTGGAGCGCTTATATCCGAAATTGGTGTTGCAGTATCGTCAACGAACCTTCGTTCACACGACTATATAAAGATCAATCAAACTGTCCATTCTTTTATCAAAAACACACCATAAGAGAGTATGATGAGATTATTTATTATAAACAAACACAAAGGTGTGGTTTTTATACTTAAAAGAAGTAACTTGATGGAATTTTGATGAATTTCACATAGTCAAGGGATTTTCCAACTATACTATAAAACCTTTTCAACATTCACCAAACCAACAACAACATTACTGCTACGGTTTTGATGCGCATATGCAAACATGTCAAAAACAGCTGACAGCTTCATTTCTTACAGTTGAAAAATTAATGCTAAATTTACATTACTCTTATCAAGGGACATACATATATTTTGCCGCTTATCTAGGACGTTATCAAGGCGTGAATAAATTTTTTATTACTAAGAGATACAAAAAATTTAATAACGACTAAAGTAATAATGCTAAATAGAATCTCAGTAGTTTGTGATTTTTGTTTTGTCCAAAGGTTTATAACCTTTTTATGATACAATAGGCTATATAGTTATTATTGAGTTGAGTGTTTTATTCACCAGGTTGCTTCCAGTTCACACAATGCTAAAAACCTGTTATTTCATCAATATCACCAACAGTTACAATCTCCAGCAGCGAAGTGAGTGTACGCCGAAACATCTTCAATGTAAGGAAATTAGACGAAAAATCTGATTGCGCAAGTTGGCATTGTTTCTAAGTAGATACAACATTAAACTATTGTCTATCGTCATCAAAGCAGCCATTAGCCCCAATAAAAACGGGAACAACTTCACAAGAACAAAATATATTCAAGCTTTGACCTGTACAAACTGTTCGTTTCAACATACTGAATGAAAAGCACATCCAAAAGGTTTTATTTTACAGGAAAAGAGATTAAATTGAGTAATAATCGGATGTAGTCGTGCAACTGAAATTTATATCAGTTGTGTTTTGCATCATTGTAGGCAATAAAGTTTGAAAGGTAGGATTTTTATACTCTAATACAAATAAGATAGCTCAATGTCCCTTATTTTTAATTTATTTGAATATCTACCTTATCAAAGTATCTGCCCTTTCAAAAAAAAATTTTATTGCCTAAAGCAAGCAACTAAAGGGTGTAGAAAGGGCTTCGATAACTGTAAACAACAAAAACGGATGATCATAAAACAAATGAACAGACAACGAATGCAAATGAAAAAGCTAACTGTAACATATACCTACCCTGATCCTATCATCCAAACTACTGGCTGGTAAATAACCCGGAGTAGTTCGGCTTCTTCGACGGCATGACATTTGCAATGTGTTTCTGAAACTGTATCACGAATACCTATAACGACGTTTTATATGTTAGTGGTTCAACCAGTAAACATTTAAACAAAATAGAAAAGCAAAAATATATTTACTTTTATTTCAAAGTGTACAACAAATTCATGCTGGTCAAGGCTTTGTACGCTCAAAGTAGATTAACTACCCCGCTTTTCACCAGCACTCATCGTAAAGAAGTTTGGAAAGTCTCATCAAAATGTAGGACACTCTTATATATGAACGCATCTTCAGTCTGATGTGGTCCAGCAGCTAGACTGTAATGCTCAAGTTTCATATTGGCCGTTTTATAAAACGCGAAATATATCCTCCATAAGGTATTCGAAAGCTCGGTGATGTGACCAGAGCACCCGTAAACCTTTGGTTGTTGCTGCAATACAATGTGCATGTTCATGACTTTCTTTTAATTACTCCTAAGTCTTCTTGTACCTTTATGCAATGAAAGTAATACACTGTCACAGGCCTACTGATAGCTAATTCCACGTCCAATGTGTATTTGCATACTCTTTCTAAAACTGATTTCTAAGCTTTAACATTTCACTTATCCATAATCGTCAGCTTTATCAAGATGATCAGCCTCACTAAATAATGTTTCGCAAATGTTGACATCGTCTGCTAGCGAAAGTGTTAATGAATTAGGCATTCCTCGTATTTCATTGACGTTGAGACGAAAGAACAGAGAATCCAAGACGGTGCCTCGTCGTTATAACACTTTAGACTTGTTGACCCTCACCCTCTATCTTTGGGACATTTTTACACGCTGTATCACATATTCTAAGTCCATATGTGTCTAAGCGCATATTCAATAAAGTTTGACAGCTGGCTGACGTCGAAGTATCCATTTAATGATGTTTGATGTGTTGAAATCTCCAATGAGAAGACACGTATCAGCCTTACTCGAAGTTCATATATGAACTGGGATAAAGTCTTCAGCCAGACAATATGGAATAGTAACATTTTTGGGAAACCATTTATTTCACATGTTACAATGCATACCATCTTCGTTAGAGAAAAGGCGCAACAGTAAACCTTATCGATGACTTTGGATAACTACTCTAACCAGACGGATGAAGGTATAACAGGAAAATTTCGGACAGCTACCATGGAACGTCAGAAACTATAGCGTGACCACAGTGACTAAAAAGATGTACCGAAACCGTAACTTTGACCAGCGACACGTATTGTGCTGAAACGTCAAAAGACTAGCGAAAGGTAAAACGGTGCATGTACACAGACAAATTACAAACCAACAAAAGTCTTGAACTGTCCATAGATGAAGTAGCCAACGTGTTTGAAGGGTACTTTTATGAACCGAAATAGCGCTAAAAGCCTTGAATCTGAGTTTCAATCTAACTTCTAGTACTATCGACACCCGGAAATCTAATGTCTCAACAAGCGAAAAACTTCGCTTCCTTTTATACGACCTCGTCCTACTCTATATACAGTTTGAAACGAGCCGTAAAAAACCCTACACAGATGCATATTTATATGTATTGCTCATTCAAGTAACATAGCTGAAATATAATTATAGAATTATTTTGACTAAACAGTCTAGAACTAATTCGATTTAGGTCTCCTTTGCTCTCGACTCAAAAATTTACATCGTTGTGGATTAATAAAAAAACATACGCGCTTTATTTCGAGGCAAGATCCTGAGGACATGACGTGTCAAACTCGCGCGTTCAGTTCAGCGTAATCTTAAGTTCGTAAGAATTTTATGTAAATGAGTAGAAATGAATGAGCCTAAAACTAATCAGTTCCCTGATACTTCGATGTTCATCCAGGTCAGTACTATTCGACGCACCCTAGCTGAAGGCACTCAGTGATGTATCGGCATCAGGTTGCTGTAGTAAATTCCCTTCGTGATGACTAGTTAGTTTAGAATAAGCGATCCTCAACCTCTTAAATATACTTTTGAGCTACCTCATTCCTTTCGTCTGGTTTGATCGGGTTCGATATTCTCAATTAGAACGTTGTTACTGTCGATTGAATACCCATGATATCTTTATGGTCCTAATGAAAAATAATATGGACGATTCAAATAGTAATAAAATTCGAACGACACAAAGATAATATATTGTTACAGATTTTTAAGTTTGTAGACAATCGAAAAAGTTTAAAATCTTAAACGATGAAGTTTAAAGCTCGAGCCATCACTTACTTAATCATAGTTAGGAATATGACGGGGATAATATAGACGTTCCCTAAGAGAATGGGGTAGTTAGTTTTGTAATATCCATAGATAATTAAAATAACAAATAAGACTAATCTAAAAGAACAAACTTTCTCATGGTAGTATTGCGTTAAACGAAGCTTTCGTATATATCTTGTCAGTGACAAAGTAGCGAGACACTCTTCCATGATACATTATACATAGTACATATTACAAAGAATTATAAATATAGTATACCATCCGACAACATAATGAAAGAATTGGATTATATTCTGAATTCAGATCATCCAGTGCTTTTCGAGTAAACATTTGTAATCTTGAAAAACAGCTTAAATCCTAAGTAACCTAATGTACCAGACAGTATCACAACAAATTTTTGAATGTGTACATTGCTGATGACTGCACCACTCGACTGATATGGTATAAATCAGAGATAAATACAGACATAAAAGTGGCAACAGCAAGATTAATAATCTAAGTCCAGGACTATAGAAACTTTATAGCTAAAACTCACCATGATTTTCCAGTATATATCTTGGCTGCTTGACGAAGATACACGTGTATTTGGAATTTCCTAGACAATAATCTAAATAAATGATGTAAATAAATAGCTAGTATTCTCGGGTAGGACGAAGAATTGGATCCAGATGACTGTTCACTTCCTGATCTATGTGCACCTATATTTGTTGATGGTCAATATATTAATAAACCTTCTTCACTGAAGTATTTACTTGCTACTAAATCCTGTTGATAAACTATGAAAGTTTATTACGAAAGTGGCTGACTAGCCACTTACATAGATCTAGCTAGTAAGCTGACTATATATACTAATTATGATTACAGTTTGAAAGTGCATGAAGGCAATAGCTAACGAACTTATTAAATAAAGGGCTAAAAAAATCAAATGTGATAGTTATGATGAATAAGAGAAGTTACACCAAGTTCTGTTCCTTTAGTCGGTCTCATCGATATAGTATTTCTGGTTTATTTACATACTGGGTTACTGTAATGAAAAAAGAACACAAGTATGTAGATGTTGGAGTCGAATGACTATGAACGTGTCTACAAACCCGTCACGTTTAGGTCCCAAGCGCTATCACAAGTCTTGTATTTAAAAACAGCGAAGACGGGCTAGTTCAGGTGAAATACGTATATTTGCTGGCAATTTTGTGGTTTCGAAAGAATACCGAAACATGCCAGACAAATGAGCGAAGATACAGAGCAAGATGGCAACTGTAAAGGAGGAAAGTGTGGTACAAAAGTATGGATAAATAAGATGTTAGTAAAACTTTCACTGATGCAACTGGTTATAATAATGAATTTTTATATATAACCAATTGTGTTTCCTTCGTAAAAGTCAAATCACTACAAGCAAATCAAATTTTTATGATAAAACCTTTATGGATGTCTACTGGTTTAGTCATGAACAGATACTCAAGTTGAGAGATACATTCAGACAGATAGTGATTTAGTTTTGTGAACTATTCATTCTTTCTAAAATAGAAGGACCTTCCGCAGTGGTTCACTGATTCCTATAGGCTGACGTATAACATTAATTCTTTGTCGAAACCGTGAAACAGATCTCCAGCATGACTGGTACATGCTGCCTAGATTACTTGTTCTCACATCCACCTTTTCTCATCGACCAAATTCACATTGTGCAGCCATCGTATGTCCGGTTTTGAGGATCTTAAGTTTCATGATTAATACCTCTACACTACAACTATCCCGAAATATCATGCCCAGAACAAGAATGGGAATAAATGAATGTTCCTAATAAACCAATCACGTTCTCTTCATAACAGCGGAGTCTCTACAACACCTTGCGAAAACGTTCTCAGAAACACTGAATAAGATTGTTGAGAAACACATGTAAAGCCGAATACCGCATATTGTTCGACTTTTCGTTGAAATATTGAAGACCCGTCCAGTTTTTGTTCATTTGAACAAGAACTAATAAGATGAGTTCACAGACCAAATCCAAATGGATGTATAGGTTATCAACGAAGAGTCTGTAATAAGAAAAAGTAAATAATATAACAAGCGTTGAACATGTAACAGTTTCAAAATGTGATTCGAAATAATATCGAAATCAAGCCAGAGAAAATATGTGGAAGATACAGAGCAGCAAAAGCAAGATGTCGGCTGCGCAGAAGCGAGTCGGGTACGAAAGTACGAATAAACAAAATGTTCGGTAGAACGTCCACTGATTGAACTGGTTTTAATAATGGATATTTCTGTTTAACCAATCGTGTTTTCGTCATAGACGTGAAATCACTAAATACTAAACTTCACGGAGTTTCAATATGATCAAACAACAACTAACGATGTCAGCACTCTAAATTCCCTTGCAAAATGTGTGAGGAAAGTAAAGCCAAGAAAACAAGAGTTCATTAAAATGAACATTATATAAAACCTATCAATGAAGCCAGTAAAACAAAGTGGTGAATTAAAAAATTCAGGTACCGATTTATCATTTCTATTTATAGATCATCTTTGTCTGAAGTCACTCATTTTTCAACGATCATTGAATGTGAAACAAAAACGGTACCGGAAAAAATATAGACTATTAGCTACATATTTCGATTCTCCAATGGTAAAATTTAAAGCTAACATTTTAAATAAAAATTTGAATTATACCATTGAATATGTCACTATCGCAGCAGATACTACTCGCATGGCGGCTTCCAAGTAGTATGTAACGGGGTGTCTCCAGGGGGAGAGAATTGCGCCGGATCGAAATTCATGGAGCGGTAAAAGCATTTTGAAGACCAGAAAACATGTCAACGAAAACAGT